GTTAACATTCATCTGTAGTTGTGTTTCTGACCATCTAGCAAATATAAGGCCAGTATCCAGTCTCTTCTTAGCTCTGTTTTTGCTCCTCACCAACTCCTTTGGGAAATATCTGGCTCTTTTACTGCTAAATGCTCCGCTGTGTTGACTAGCAAGTCACAAGCTGTGTCTTACTGGTTTTTGGTGTTGGGCATGTATTTTAGAGGCTGATGAGAACAATGTGGATGAAGATGATATGTAGACTCTGTAGCCAGAAAGAGAGATCAACCACAGGCATGGAGAGGACAGAAACAACAGCTTTTTGAATCAGTTGACAAACTGTTACTCTGGATGTTTGCAAAGTAATCCCAGCCATATGTAGTTGGATAGTTACAGTGCCTGTTTTTTTTTATTCTTAAGGCTCTGAGCCTCAGCAAGGTCACTTTGAAATAAAATAATAGATACCACATTGCCAAGCGTTAGTTTTGAGTAAATTTATATGACCAACATAAAATGGTTGTTTCATTCTTCTTTTTCTTTAACCTCAGAATTAGCTAGGCTTGTCAAATGTGCCACTTCACCAGAAAGCCCTCAAACACTATGTATTTGTCAGTATACATCAAAAATGCTGTTTAAGGACCTTGAGTATGTAAATATATTTTCAATTAGCAAAGCACACTTCAAAGTCTGTCTTATGAATATGCAATGTTATATTGTATTTTCTCACTTGACAGCCATCTGTTTGCATGTCTTTGATGCACACCACATGTCTACCCTGCTGTTCAAAATGCCAGCACATACTCACACACCAGTACAGTAACACAAACACTTCAACATACAGGTTTATTACATGGAGTGCATATTAATGCTTGCACATTTGAACATAGTCCTATAGACCACAGCTGGTACCCAAGCCTCCAAACAGGCTGCAACCCACCATTTATAGACTTGAAAGTATTTCTCCACTGTTTTCTAGTAGGAGTATCAAGACTCACTTAATGCAGGTAGATGATATTCAAATTGGGGGATCTGAACTGTGAAGGACTTTAGTAGCTCAGTAGATTTTTTTTTTCTGCTGAAATCTGAATAGGAGTTGTCAAGGAAAGGTGTTCATTGATCAAAATGCCTTAATCGCTTTCTCTGTGCAGCAGATTATTTCTGTTGTGTCCTAACACTCAGCACTCCAACAACCCAAACTCCCATTACCATCTTTTTTTTCCCGTTCTTTTAAAAAAGTACCACACATTTTCATCACTTCTCAGCCTGACAGGTAAAAGTTCCACTAGTGGAGCTCTGCACACTAGGCCTGGTATCCTCACTTTTCTTATTTAACACTCTCACACATCCTTTTCCTTTTTGTTCTGTCTTGCACTGTACCGACTTTTCCCACTTTCATCATTTCCATCTTGCAGCCGTTCTTACTTTTCTTCATACTGAATACAGATTTTTATATTGGTTCTAAACTTCATCTGAAGTTGTACTTTTTTCTCTGAAACTCTCCTCTTTCTGCCATGCTCTTTGCCTGCACAGGCCTCAGGAAGTGGGTGTGTAGTGTGTTGGGTTAGTTTAGGGGAGAGAGAGCAAGAGTGAGAGGTAGAGAGAGGAGGGGAAAGGGAGGATACTGATTAAAATAATAAACAGCTGTGTGAAACACTGGGGCTTGTGGTCACAGAGAAAACAAGAGCGACAGAGGAAGAAGAGCAAGGGATGGGACACCAGCCTGGGTCTTTGTGTGACCCTAGACAGAACAAAAGAGCCAAAGAAGAAAGGTAACTTTTTTAGAATTTTCCTTCTCCCAAAGGAGAGAGAGAGCAGGATGGGAAACAGATCAACGTTCCCTTTTTCTCAAGGGGCAAAGAAGTAATCAGCAGAGCTCCAACTGTATAAGGCCAACGAGTCGAACACCCTGTCCAGGATCAAGACACCGAGCTTTTAGGCAGCTCCCTGCCAACACGTGGCTCCAGAAAAAGAAGAAGGCATCCTTTGACTAAATATCCCAGTCATGGCAGTGATTAGGAGGGTATGATGGAGTGAAACCAAAGCGGGGCTGGAGACCCAAGGGGTGGGTAGTAAGTCAGACACTGAGGTCAGTGTCTCTTTGAGCCTGTATTACCTTTACTCAGAAGAACGAGAGGGCAAGCCATGTGCCACTTTGTGTCCCCGTCTCTCTCTGCTTGAAGTATGTATGGTTGAGTGACTGGCAGGGATAAAGCGATTTTTATCTGATTAATTGAGAACAAACGCCCTGGGTCTGCCCAGGGTTGGGCTGCCAGACATCGTGTAAACAGCTTCCTTCATGCCCAGAGGGGAAGTGGAGGAAGGGAAGCGTAGAAAAGTTGGAGAGACCCAGACCTGTCCTCGTCCCCCCGGCGGTTTATACCAGCCTGCATGCCCCTCAGGTCTCTCAAACTGTTATCTCCACGTTGCAGACCTCCACCCAAGATTTGTTGGATTTCCCTCCCAGTTTGAGTCTTCCATTCCTGGCCAGAGCTCTGCCATCAGCCTCCAGCCACTACTTTGTCAAACCTCCAGTGGCACCAACCGTCCTGTTAATCCTAGTCCCAGCTCTGAAGCATGACTGCAGGGTAGCTGTCGCCCCCCCACCTCCCTCAGCCTGGTTGCATTTTTGCAGAGGATGCTACGAACATGGGCTGGGACTGCGCGAGCACACACACTGCCATTCAGGCACGGGTGCTGCCAAAGGGTGTGTGAAGTGTGTAAATCATCTGTTTTGGGACTGCAACCTGGATTTGTCCCTCTTGTGTTTGAATTTTTCTTAAGAGCTGGATTTCCCTTTAGTTGGATTCAAGATTATTTGAATGTAGATTCACTATTGATTGGATTTACTGTTGATCTAAGCCCTGACCTTGAAGTCTTTGACCATAACCACTGGAGGACTTGCTCGTTTGTCCTGACTCTTTACCAACCTTCTACTTGTATGACAATAGAGAAAATGTAGGCAGTGGGAGGAGTCACAGCGCACACTCCAACATGATTGGCTTGAACTTCAACTTGCAGGAGCTACTTATAAATTTTGAACAGGTATACATCTATGGAGCCATTTTATTATAAAGACCTTTCACTGACTTTTGAGTACATTTTTTTAAACAGACATGAATGCTGCATACATATGCACTCACCATTCACTCCCCATCTCCCCTTGTGTTTGTCATTATAGACCCAAAGTGGTCAGTTTCATGAGGTCTAATGTTTCCGTCTTTCATAGAGTAGTAGTAGCTGGAACTTCAGCTTCCAGGGAGAGACCGTCACATTTTGTTTTTTTAAACCACCCCACAGCCAACAAAACTCCATCATTCATTACAGCGTGCATGAGATGCAGAACCCATTAACCTTTCTACCCACTCACACACACATCTGTTCCTGGGTGTGTGTGTGGTAGAAAGTTTGAGAAGCAGTGATTTAATTGAGTCATTGTTTGTATTGCGTATGTATTTGTGCTTTTGTGTGTGTGCTCTTCTCACACATGTATCACCTGCTTGCTTAATGGCAGACTTGTTTTCACCGTCTTCAATGTTTTCATAATTAGCCTGGAACTAAAAGCTTATTGCATGTTTTTGTGTTTTGTGTGTGTTTGTGCCTCTGTGTGTCTACACAGTTTGTACTTTCTATCTTGTGTATGTGCTAATTTGTGCAGTCAGTGTTATTTCCAGTGGAGGAAAAAGTGCTATGGAGAAAGAAAAGGAAAGCACTTGGGTAATGACTTGAAGCACAGCCAGCTGGCTGTGTGGTAGAATGACCCTGTCTTTCACTCTTTGTCTGTCCTTCTGTCTTTCTTCTTCTTACTGTCTGTCTCTCTTGTTCTCTCTCTTCCTACCTGTCTCCCTCTCTCACTCCCTCTCTTCTGTGACCTTTAAGTGGCATTTGATTTGTGTCAAAAAGCCAGTGAGTGATTATCCTTGCAGATCACAGAGGAGAGATTTGCTCCAGCCTTTGTAATATGTGTAGTGGCATTCAATAAATTGCAGTAGAGCTACAAAATGGTAAAGTTGTTATATTGCATGTAGCTGGGCTGTATTTTGTTTTCTTTTTTTTAAGAACACAATTTCCAGAGTAGCTGATCTGTTGTCACATGTGTTGTAATCTCATAACATACTTGCTGTGTGTGTGTTGCTCATGCGTTTTCCCACAGCTTTAATATCTTGCTTGTGAGTAGGATGAATATGTGTGATAATGGGGTTTTCCTCTATATTATTTTCCCAATGTTGCATAGTTGTCTAATTACGTGTGTAGCTATTTGTGACGCGTGTTTGTGATTTGACTAGTGTTTTACAGTCAGTGTACAGTAGCACCATGTTAATGCCATTAGAGCAGGTTTCCATTGCTTTACTGACTCTCACTTAATTCATAATGCAGAGATGGCAACAAAACAGTCCAGCAACATTAACTGTAAATTTCCTAGATAGGAAAGTTTTGGCTAATTGCATCATTACCAATCTGTGTGATGCCACAATGAGAAGGATGCACAAGTAACAACTTCAGGCGCTGAGGACGGGTCATTTAACACACAATGTCCAAAATTTTCTTTTTTTTTTATTACTGTACTGGTGAAGGCTACAGGTTCATTACATTACCCTTATCTATGCTAATTTTACCCCATTTGCCAATCTGGTCCTGTACTACAGGCAGTGCTACCCTCATCCATATGGTGTTAGAGTCTTTTCATTATCTGCATTTGAAATGGGTTGAAGTGAGGGGCGTCCCAGAAGAGAGAGAGCAAGAGAGAGGAAAATGGAGCAGCTTTACACATCTAAAAATAAAACATTTGACTGGATTCTCTGCTTGCGTCAGCCCCCCTTGTGGTTCAGCCCTCACACAGAAACGCTCACACATACTGTACCCTTTGAGATGTGGTTGTGTAATAGATGTCTTGTTAAGGGCAGTGACACATGTACACAAATATCATACTTCATCACAGTGTTGAACATACACACATAAATGGAACGGAATAGCACTACATTAGTAGTAGCTGTGTCTTATGACAGTTCTTCTTTGTGTATTTGCAGGACATCCAGGCTGAGATTGATGCCCACAATGACATCTACAAGAGTGTGGACGGAAACAAGTCAAAGATGGTCAAGGCTTTGGGCAGCTCAGAGGAAGCTGTGTTCCTCCAACATAGACTGGATGACATGAACCAACGCTGGAGCGACCTGAAGGCTAAATCAGCCAACATCCGGTCAGTAAAACTCTGTCCATTACACACAAATAGAAATATTTATTTTTTCATGCAGCTCAGATTGTAGTTTGCTGCTTTCAAGACTTCTTGGTTGAAGGTCTCATTGATGGCAGTGGTTCGAGTAGGTCTTCTGGTTTTTTACTATTTTATTCAGCCAGGGAATTGCACTTTACAGACATCAATTTCCAAGTCAGAATGTGATTCTCACAAATAAAATAACTAGAAATAAAACACAAGGCTGCATTCATTCAACTTGCAAGAAGCCCAAATTTTTTTCTAAAAAAAAAAAAAAAAAAAAAAAAAAAAAAAAAAAAATTCTCTCCATTCAAAAGTATGTTATGGCACAAGTCATCACCGCTTTCAGTTACTGGAAAGAAAACATAATCCTCTTCTCAATGTATCATGACTCAGATGTCATGGATTAATGGAAAATCACAAAAGACATACAGCACATTGTGGAATATTCTCATGGGTTGTTATGTTTCCTATCAGCTGTATAGATACCTGTACTATATAGTTCCTGTGTTCCACATGTCCTCCGCAGAGCACATTGAAATAAAGCACCAAAAGGACCTGAGTGGCACTTAAACTTCTGTTGACAGACATTGCCACGTCAGCCACAGCCTTGGCATAAATACATAAGATAGGTGATGGATGGCAATGTAGAGGATGAAGAAAGCGAAGGTGAAAATGAAGTTGACAGGGCCATATGGAGATGTTCAAAGAGGAGGAGGGAGGGTGGAGAGAAGCAGCACAGGAGCACAACAAAGGTTAGAAAGGCTGAAGAGAAACTATGGACAGTTTAAAAAAAGGTTAATAGAAAGATTGTGTTGAGAAGAGTTTATTGTGAGTGGTAAAAAATAAAAGGGAGCGAGTCTAGGTTTACCAGTGCATACATAATAGGTTGGACTTGTTCCGCAGGAAGACAAGTGACAAATAAACAGGCAGAGAAAGATGAGTCTGTGTGGGTGTGAGAGGTGTGGTACAGTGTGTTTTGACTGAATCCAACCCATTATGCCTTAATTGCAATACATGTGTAATTAAAGCTAGCTTGGTGAGTGGCAGTAGGAGGTAACTGTCTACAGTGTGCGGATACATAATGCCCAGATGAAAAACAAAGGTGCTTATCAACATGTATTGCATGCATGTTGCCACCTACACCAGTAGCAGCCACCTGTTCCCTTTTATGAATCTGCATGGTGGTCAACAGTCCGATTTTTACAAAGGGGCTTTAGTTGAATTTGATTTGTTTCATAAGCTTTAAACCTTTTTATATAATCAGTTTCCTAAAAGCAAAGAATACATGTGCAGCTTTACTTCTCTATGAATGCAAGTATTGGAATTAAGTGGGTGCTAAGTCAATGTTTATGTTACCTTAAACTTGAATTGACTATTTTATTTGTCATGACAAGACTGTAAATACTTCAACGGTGAGATGAAAATGCATACTGTATAATAATAGCTTAAGTGTACGGTGTTTGTTGGCAGAGCCCATCTTGAGGCGAGTGCTGAGCGCTGGTCGCGTCTGCTGGGACTCCTGGAGGAGCTGTGGAGGTGGATTTGCATGAAGGATGAGGAGCTGGCCAAGCAGATGCCCATCGGAGGTGATGTGCCCACCCTGCTGCAACAGCAGAACCACTGCATGGTGCGTATTGCTGCCACAAGACAATGTTCCTGCCACACTGTGCTAGATTTATCCTGCCTTGTCCCTCACTGGTTTCCAGAAAGTTGTTTTTGAGTTTTTTCACATTTTGATTCTCATGGCGAAGAGTATTTCTTTTGAACAGTATCTTTTAGCCATACTCTGTTGTGTACATGAATAAATAATATAATAATTTATCATTTCTGTTGATTCATGAGTTTTCTGATCTCACATGAATCCAGCTCCACTGATCTTCAACCTGAGCAGAAGTCTTAATTAACCAGAGTTCATGAAAACACTTGAGTGGGTCTGCAGGACCTAGAAGTCAAAGGCAACTGGATGACTGAACATTTTCATAATATGCATCATGATGCTAACATGGCCACCAATGTCACCCCTTGGAGACAGAGAGGGGAAAAAATCTAGATGTTACTAATAACATTAATGATGGCTTTGTTCTGTTCTGATAAGCCAGGACCCTGAGCCAGTATTATACCAGGATTATGAAACTGGGCCATTGTTAATTTTATTATTCATGCCTCTGCTGTGCTTCTGTGATATGTCAAAATGTATTGTGTGGGAAAAAAAGCCCCTACTCTAGACTATATATAGAAAAAAAAGACACTCAGGTGGTTGCTATCTGCACTACACCAGTGAAGACCAATATTAAAATCACTACAGCACAGCATGTACTGTTATTCCTCTTATATCATTCTTATCATTTATCGTTCTTGCGCCACGGTGTATCACTTATTCTAACAAGCGATCGATACCTTCATTGTGCCGATCCATTCACGCTTTAGTCATCACTGCTATTTGTCACCCATGTTCTCCACTGCATTATTTATTGTAACCACTGGTTATTGTGATAGTGCATTGGCATGTAATTGCTTTCAGATAGATGACTCACCCTGTGGCTACTGTTTACAACCAGTCCGCTGGCCGCCACGGCTGTTGAGGTTGGTCTCGACATCATAATGTGTTCCTTTGCGGCCACTTCGCCACACTCATATTTTGTTTCCCAAAAACACCTTGAATGTAAAAACATGTGCAGTCATGCAGTAGGTCTCATGCACTGAGACAGATCAACAGACACATGAGCACACAACAGACACACACCCATTACGTATTTGTAAGGATGTATAGATTGTGATCTTCACGCGACCTGCTTTTTAATTGTCTGCCTCATGCACACACGCTTTCTTATAGTGTGCTAAACAATTCTAAGCACAGCTATTACTGTATTTTGTAATGTAATTATTAGATTACATTCTTTTGTTACATTTTGGCGGATACAATATTAATCAAGATTAATCAGGCAATTATGCACACATAAATGTAATCAAACCCAAACCCAAATATGAGCTCAAATGAGATGCAGCCTCAATTATAAGGAGGTAAATCACACCTCCACAAACCACAACTCGAAGACAAAGGCTTATATGGAGTTCTAAAAGGCAAAAACCAGCAGGAGAGAAGCAGAGACAAAACCAGAGTCCAAGCAGGGGTCAGAGGAGAACTGTCCCTCCAGGCTGAGCAAGAGCCAAGAGTCCATTGGAATGACAAATCAAAGTCCCGGGGCAGGCAGAGTCCTTACACAGGGAAGTTACAAGAGAATACATGTGAGTGAAAACTGACAGTGTGAGAAAACAACACAAACACAGGAAAACTAAGAGGAAAAAAAAAGGCTGGGTTACTCAGACAACGGTTTGCAAAAGCTTCTGGCAGTGAATGAATGCTGGATGCCAGTTTAAATACAGACTAGATTAACATGGATAAGAGACAGGTGAGTGAGGACAGTGCAGGAAGTAAGAGCGGGAAAACAGAACAGAGGACAGGGGCAAAAACACTGGGCAGAGACAGGACCGGGCCTAGATGTGGGATAGTTACAGTAGGATTACATGGAAAATGAAAGTGAAAACAAAAATATCTACACATTTAAAAAGTGTTTATGAAATATAGTAATTTTAAACTTCTTTCCTTCAACTTATTCGGTGCATTTTTACTGCCACTTCTTTCAAAGACATAATATTGAGAAAAACAGAGTGAGGCTCTTGCCAGTGACAGTCAGTCAATGCCTTGGCCACAGCAATGCCTGCTAATTATACCCTTTTAATGATTTAATGAAGAATCATCAGTAGCAGAATGGACTGCCAAAAAGTTTACTTTTTCCTCAAGAGCATGTTTAATTATTTGTTTAAAAAAAGGAAATTATAGTTAGGGCTGTGCCAGACCATATGACAATGATACCAGGTCCTCTGAGGTATGAGATGATGATGAGGCTCATTCTGTGTCTTGTACCCAGCAGCAGACAGAGAGCAGATCAGACATGCTCCGTTACATAAGGATCGGGGCTGAGGGCACACACTCCACTGGAGAATGCAATCTTCCTACATGTCCACTTTCACCTTCCACTTCTCATTGCCCACTTACAGCTCTTCTGTTCTGCTTCCTGTCATTTCTTCTCTGCAGTGTCCGTCCAGCTGTTGGCCTCTGCATCTCCTATTTCCAACGCTTCTCCTCCCTCTTTTCTTCTTCCTTTCTGTTTTCTTGTTATTCTCCAGGTCTTTGGCTTTGAGAATGCTCAAATAGGAAATAATGAGACAGGGGAGTTGAAAGGGAGAAAAACTTTTCATTTTGACTAGGTTATATTGTTCCCGTCACTTCTTTCTCTGCCGTATTATTAATAGATTGGCCTGGAGGTCTTGCTGACCCTGAGTGGGATGATCCAGCTGAGCAGCACAAAGAGCTGGGGCTGTGGACACGTCATGCTTTATTACTTGCTTCCACAGACACACATGCAAGTCCCCTGTATTGATGCATACATACAGTAGACAAACTCTGCTCTGTTAGAGAGATGAGGTAACTGTGTAAAGCTATATGGAAACTGGTAGCTGTTGGCTTAGGAGGTCTAAGTTGAAAAACTCTATTTTCCCCTCTTTTTTTCTGGGAGGCTTAGACTGATTAAAAAGAAGGCTAAGTCACTTAGCTCAACAGAGAGCAACAGACTTTACTGTTCAAAGGAAAGAACAATATGAGACAGCAATGGTCTAAAGATTCAGAGAAGAAAGTGACAGACCAGGCGAAAAGAGGAAGGAAAGAGCTTTATATGTGGAAGAAAGCAGGTTAGTGGAGGAAATAAAAGACAAATATGGCAGTCTGGACTGCTTGTTTTCAGGATATTCTGTTTCTTACACAACTGTTGCATTAGAAGTTGAAAGCTGCTTTTTACTTGGTGATAAGCTTAAAATAATTGTAAAGGTGTCAGAGGGAGGTGCATTCTGTCTTGCTGCTACTTCCTCTGTCTATTGATCTGCCTCTGTGTTTTTCCTCTTCTAAATGGTCATAATAGCAGTTAGTAATTTGCAATTAGCCAATAAAAGGCCTTTATCAGCATTCTTCTGATTAAACTCATCAGTCTACGCTATTAAATTAACAACTTTTAGATCTGGGAACTGAAGCTAGGACCAATTTCTTGTGGGCATTTTTAATGACTCTTATCTTTCAGCAACAGGTGGCATTTGGTCTCCATTGATAGGACAGTCTAATCCAGGATTTTCAAAAGCTACAAATGTTTCAGAGTGAATAAATATGAAAACAAAGAGGCAGTGTGATCCTATTTACATTTAAATTGAGTCTTAATATGCTTATGGAGCATACAAAACTAGAAGGGTCTAATAGTCCACTGCAGAAACCATCTTAATCATTGTGCTTGCATGATTGATTAGCACCATTTACACCTAAATAGACAGGTCTTAAAGGAAAATGAAAAGGATTAAAGTGCTGCGCTGGACATTGGCTTATCTCTTAGGAAAGGAAGAACATTTTTTTTAAACTCCCAGCTGCCTTACTTAACTTTCATCTGTTGCCTCTGCACATGTTGGGAGCATTTTTGCTACTTTCTAATGCCTCGCAAAACAACAGGACAATTTTATTGTTCATTGGGGAAATAAATCTACACCTGAGTGTTGCAAAACATTTTTGTTATACTTGCTTAATGTAATTTTTATAACAGTGGCTAAAATGACTTTTTGTAATATGAAACTGGTTGCACGGCTTGTGTGTATTTGACTTGGCCAGGGCCGGAGGCAGTAGATTAGTAAAGTATTTCAAATAGTATTGTTTCAAACAACCAACCTTTTTTAACTTATTTCTGTGATTATCTTTTTTTTTTTTCTAGATAAAAATTGGAAGCCATCAGCTTTTGGCAGTTTGTGATTTGTTGGGAGTGAGAGTTTGAGAGAGCCCCTGTTGTGATGGCTCCGAGTCCCTGGCAGGTGCTTTTCTGGTGTTGAGAGCTGGTGAGATTTAGTGGTCCTGGTCCTTTCAGGAGGCTTTTTTCCTGGAAGAAGATGACGGGAACAGTAATATAGCAGAGAGAGGCAGAGATAGCAGGGTTTTGAGAGCGGGAAGAGGGATGTTTGGCAGAGCTCTGAAAGTAGCTGTGTTGTGATGTTATCTTATTGGCGCCACAACACAGGGCACACGGTGATAAGAGTTTGTTGTGCTACTATGGCCACACGGGAGCACAGGCCTGGACACAAACACCCTCACACAGACACAGTCATTCAGATGCCAAGGTCACAGTCACTCATAGCTACAAGATAGGTGCCGTTAAGTATTGTGGGTCTGACAAGAGTTCTTTCCTCCTTTTGTCTTCACAAATAACACAGGGCCAGACTGTGCTCTGTTATGCCAGTGCTGAAAACACCTAAAAAGAAGAACAAAATACATACCTATCTCTTTTTATCTTTGACATAGACAGCCATTTCTTGTTACTCATGGGCCAGCTGAGATGTCCTAAAAAATAAGCTTTGTTCTTAACCTTCAAACTGTACATGTGTTTGATACTTACCTTTCATGCTCCCTATGAAAAATATGTAGTTCTTTGATAATGTGACTGTGGTGAGTTTATTGTCATCTGTCTGAACTGCAAAGATACCCAGTGGCTGGATGGCGGACAGAGAGGCTATTTGTAACAAAGGAATTTTACTTGTGTATGTGGTCTTTTTTTAGCCAGTTAACTTTGAAGGACAGTGTTTGGGGGAACACTACTGCCATAAATTTCAACATTTATTGTGGTAGACAAGTAATACAGCTACATAGTAATACAGCTGCAGTTTTAGAGGTAATTGTTGACCTTTGATTCAGTAATTTGCAAAGTAATCTGATCACAGCCTCTATTTGGTGGCTGTTCTGGAGCTTTCAGTCAGATCGCATCATCTTCATCGGTGGATGGAGGTTGCCATGTTGTCATGGGTTTTTTAATGTTCAGGGATTTTTTTTTTCGGAGCACTTAAAAGTTTAGCTTCAAGGTTCTTTCTTGATCTTGGAAACAAATAAAGATATTTTCTGAAATCAATATATCTCAATGGCAAATGTCTGCAAAACCCATACATGTTCAGAACAGTGAACTGTCCTTTACTGTTGAGCCTTAAAACAAAATCATTATTTTAAACAACAGATTTGCTGAACATCATCATAAGAACACATTATCCCACATAAAGAAAGAGTTTTAATCTTAAAGTTGAAACAGTACATTAATTGAGAAAATTCTTAATTGCTTAATCCTTTAAGATATTTAAAAAACAAAAACATTCTCTCGTCCTTGCTGATTAGCTTTTCCACCCTGCTTTTCTTATCTCTCTTCCCCACACACACACACACACACACACACACACACACACACACACACACACACACACACCTTCCCTCCACCTTTGTTTCCCTCAATCACCTTTAGTTTCTGTCTCTCAAGGTCCCCTCTCTGAGCTACCTGACAATTACATTTCCTCCTTGTGAGTGGGGAGGAAATCATTGGGACGGAGCGAACCATTTATTAGCGGGGGTGATTTGATTTGTGTTCAGATGGATGCTCCATTTCGGCGGAATAGTACATTTGTCTACAGGAGGCTGTGTGAAATCGACATTCCAGCAGACTAAACCTAACTTTCACAGCAGCCTACTACCTAAAAAAGGCCGTTTTTGAAATTTTGAAACTGGAACAAAAATGAGTGTGTATATTTGTGAGCTGTTACTTCTCATCCTCCTACCCTGTTATTCTGCCTCAAATGGTACTGTATATACAACTCCTACTGAACCCATGATGTTGTGTGTGCACGACTGAAAAAACTGAATTTTTGGCATCTCATTTTTGCCACACTCGTCTGTTTGGAAAGTATGATAAGTATGAGACTTTATCAAAACAAGTCATCCTATCTAATCAACTTGCCTCACAGCGCTTTATACTACATTGCCTCCTCATAAAGCAATCACACACTCCGATAGGCAATAAGTTCCCTGGGGTGACGCTTATATTAAAACAGGAATAATTATGCTGTTATATGCCATGTTCACTCTCTGTCTAGTTTCATTGCCTGTTGTGAGCTGTGGCGAGGCTGACTGTTTGACATGAGGTTAAGAAAAGCGTCCCCCAAATTGCTTTGTGAATCTAGTATTTTCTCTACTGTAGGGCATGCAGTGAGAACAGGATATGTGGTATTTCTGTTTGGCTCTGTAATGACAATTTGTGCAGGGTTATAGCGCCCCTCAACTCACTTTATTCAGTGACTCACTTAGCTAATTTCACACCGACCCCAAGGAACTGCCCGGGTTGTCGCTGTAGTCTTGCCTTCAATCGCTGCGCTGTCCTCTGTGCTCTTCCTCCCGCTGACACTCTGACCATAGCTGCTCTCTCTCAACTCTTGCTTTTCCTATTTATAAGTGAAAACCAGGCAGGGAAAGCATTAATTACCCCTTTCTTAAATGATCTGGTCTGCCTCTTTATTCATTGCTCTGTGTTTCTCCTGCAGGCACTATGGTCAGAACTGAAGGAACGGGAACACTTGGTGATCAGTACTTTGGACCAGGCCAAGATGTTTCTTGCTGACCAGCCCATTGAGGGACCAGGAGAGCCATGCAAGAACCTGCAGCCAAAAACTGGTACTTTTGCACTCTCCATAAAATCTGTATAATATATACACCAGTGTGTGGGGGAGAACTAGAAGAGCATCATCATTTTGCATTAGAGAGCAGCTTAGTGATTTCATATACAACCAATGACATCACACCAGAGAAATGAAGTCATCAGACCTCTTTCCTCTTTTATCATAGCGTAGCACATCTTCATGAATAGGCAGACTAAATATCTTTGACTTACTTAGGCTAATATTTTTCACATGAACTAAATAAGTTTGACTCCCTTTTTTGTTCAGGTATTTTTGGGATATTTCTTTTTTTTTAATCGAATAGAATATAGTGGAAATGAGGGGAGCAAAAGATGGGGATGACATGCAACTAAGCTTCTCGAGTGAATAAATCCCTGGGTCACCAGAATACTATCGCAGTCTCCTTTTTAACCAGCTTGCAGTACCAGATTGGCAAAGTTTCTCATTCAGTGGATTCTGTACCAGAGGGCACTTCACAGCAAGTCTGTCTGGTTCTTTTCAGACTAAATGTGAGGATTATTTGATCAAGTTTTAAGGTTAAGTGCCCTTGAAAGACCATTTACTACAATTTGAACCGGTGGTACTGTAATACTAGTATATAACAGAGCCCCCTCATGAATCAGATATAAAGCCATGTTCCTAAATGTGCCTATCTGGCTTGTTGATGATCTGCACATGCACAGACCCACAAGGTGGTTAAGTGTTGGGGTTGGGGTTAGCAAATCTGTAGACTCCACTACAAAGATAGCACATACTGATAATGTAGGACAAATCGTTAGAACACTGGCTCACTCAGCACTCTCTCACTGTCTCTATTTGAAGCAGCAAGGGTGTCTTGGTTAGGTCAGCACATTTCCATCCAAACAAAAACCCTACTGTGTAAATAATTAAACCAGCCCCTGCGTTGGGGTGTGGTGTGACTTCACAGCACAGACCAATAGGCTTGTTGTCTGTGGCATAGGGCATGTCAAAGTGTCATCTAACTGTACAGTATAAATAGAGAAAAAGCTGATGTAAGATCAGAGGCTGTGCTCATTGTTTAATTAGGCGAGATGGGATTTCCTAGAGTTCCACTGTGCTAAAGTCTTAACAATTTTTATTGTCCTCTTTTTTTGTATCTTTCCATTAAGTTGGTGTTTATTGTTATGTTTGCACTTTACATTCTTTATTACACAATTCTTTATTACACCCTCACAATGTGTCTGCATGAGGTGGTAGCTGCACTTCTCAAAATGTCTGGCTGTGTGCATGGGTGGGAGAGAGTGACATAGAGATTGCAGAGGTGCAACAGGTGAAGGTGGTAATACAGTTATTACCCTGGAGACAGGACCTTCAAACTCATAAAAGCTGCTCATCTTTCTGTGTAGTTAAAATGGATGGCTGGGGAGCAGTTTTCTCTCTTGCCTACTCATTTTTCCCCTCTTTGTGTGCACCCTCTAATATGTCACAATTATCTGATCCTCTCACCTCTCCTGCCTCCATCATTCCCTAGAGCCTGTGTCTCTCACACTTTTTTCTTTTGGTCACTTTTATCATGCTTTAACAGCCTTCACATCCACCCTCACTGTAATTGAGATTCTTTTCTTTTTCTGTCTTTATGCCTTTCTCTTATCTCTGCTCATCTTGAGTTTGACTAATTTGCCCATGTTAAAGGGAAACATACAGTACAAATAATGGACAGTAAGGTGCAGGAAGAGAGAAAATGCCCAAGGAGGGCTTACTCAGTACCTCAACCTACATAAAAATAGTACTTTCAATGGAAGATACCTGTAAAACATGTCTGTGGGATTGTAAACATGTAGTTTTAATTAAAAAGACAGAGCTCTTTGAATTAGAAGCCCTATATTTTATAAAAATTGATGAGTGAGATATTTGGTAAAATGAATATGAGGTGATTTTTAGGATAGATTTTTTTTCTTATTTGTATTTGAAAAACATACTGTTAGAAGTTAGAGGTAGTTGGGTACATTTTCTGGAGCATAGTTATAGAAAATATCAAAACTGATGCTGTGTACTGCTAGTGCAGAAGGTCCTAAGCACTGTATATATGAAAGATTAATAACAGACATGAAAAATGTCTTTGTCCACAAAATAACATCTCTTAACCTGTCTTTTAACTTGCTTCTCTTCATCCAGAGCTCACCCCAGAGGAGAAGGCTCGAGGGTTGGCCCGGGACATCCGCAAGCAGACAGGTGAGGTGAGGGAGCGATGGGAGCGTCTGAAAGGACACGTGGGCAGCTGGCAGAATCAGGTGGAGCGAGCATTGGAGCAACTCCAGGAGCTGCAGAGCTCCATGGACCAGCTCGACCTGCGGCTGACTCGGGCAGAGGAGGTCAAAGCTACATGGCAGCCTGTGGGGGATCTGCTGATCGACTCCCTGCAGGACCACATCGACAAGACCATGGTCAGTCCGTGAGAGAGCAGTACTGTTGTGTGTCTACTACAGTCATGGAGACATCAAGTCTGGGGTCAAGACACCTCACTCCTCTGAAATTCAGAGTACTTTAGTCATCTCCAACAAATAACATATTTTCTTTCACTGTCAAAATCTTACAGATTTAACTGCAGCGAATGTGAATGTGACAATATTAGCCTAAAATGCACATACACGAAATGAAGTGAAATATTTTGAGTGAGAATTAGCTGTGAAATCTCAACACAATTTCCATACTCCTTTTTATTTTTAGAGCAGCACAGTATTTGTTTTGATGATGATTGTCTTGTTTGTTTGCAAATGCTGCTCATCAAATTTGAATATGTCTTTTCCCAAGGAGACCTGGCCAAGAAACAGTCGAGACATTTAATTAACAAGCAGAAAAATGACAGCGTTTCCTAATAAGCAATAAACAATGAATGAAGGAGCAGCAAAGGAGAAATGGAGGACAGAGGAGAAACTGAAAATAGTCCAATCATGATTCACAGGTTGCATAAGGGAAGGCAAGTGTTGCATTAATCTGGCTGTCTGTTACACCACGCAAGATTGTAATGATGATCTCCCTGTGGTACGGACAGTCTGGCCTTAATATCCAATTATATCTCTTAATATCCATGTCATGTAGGGACCCACTTTGGATAAAACAGTCTATTAAAGGATTAACCATGGCAACATTCCGCTGTTATGACACACAAAGCATATAGGAATTAAGTTTATGTTGAGCCACAGTAGAGACTTTAAATGCAAATTATAGCACTGCAAATTTAAAAGTTTATGTATCTCAAGTAAACAAGAAAAACTAAATAGCTGTTAAAATAAAACAGGTGATTCTTTACAACAGAAGTCTTTGTGAAAGGACACACACCATGGTCAGGAAATTAGACTAACAACAGCAACATAAAACCTTCTGTCCAGGTCTTCAGAGAGGACATTGCCCCATTACGTCAGGATGTACGGAACGTCAATGAGCTTTCTGCAGAGCTGACGCCACTGGACATCCAGCTGTCTTCCACTGCCTCCAGACAACTGGACCAGCTCAACATGAGATGGAAACTACTACAGGTAGTTCAGACCCTCCTAAATCAGCTGCAGCTGTTACAGCATGTTTCCCCCCACACACACACACACTTTTGTTTCTGTGCCTGTTTTCCTCTTTGGCATTTTGTCTACGCACGGCTAAATGAAAGTTGTTTTTAATATATCCTGCTCCAGTTTCTGCGTGTTCCTTTATTCTCCATCTGCCTGCCTGTGTTTTTTTTAATGTCTTCTGTCTGTCTTTGCTTCGGTCTCCCTCAGTTTCTCTTGCCGTGTGCATACTGATTTTAGTTTTTGTCAGCCAAACACACAGGGGACTGAGCACGGTGCACTTACCTGTGTACCTGTTTTATTTGAACACAGTTCTATGCTCAGCGCGACACTTTGTCACTACACATCAGTGGACACTGTTCTCACAGTCACTTTCTTGGTTCTCGACATGCTTGAATGTCTCGGTCTCATCCGCAGTGGGGCTTGCCGAGTGTTTCTCAAGAGTGGAGCATGTCTCAGCCCTAAAGGAAAAGTCACAGGGAAGTCTTTTTATAAGTCATCAGAAGTAAGGAGAAGTGAAAGGGATGATGGTTGTGAATTAGGGAGTGAAATCCTCTGCATTAAGTTTGAATGTGCACATGAGCATAGCAATCTGCAAATTTACCTCAGAAAGTTGTGAGAAGTTCTTTCAGATATGTTCCAGTCATCAAAGTGAGTTGTGCTGTTTCTTTACTTTTAATGTTGTACTCTCAGAGATGAACTGTGGACTTAGGCTATTTAAATATGAGTGCTGTCATCCCCTCCTCTCTTAGAAATTAGAATAATTTTACCAAATTATGTGCGAGTCTGATTGTGTCTAAATGATCTATAGAGTAATATAACCAGAGAGTTGTGCAGAGAAATGTGATCAGTGTTTTTTCTCCCCCTTTACTGACTCTAAGCCTTTGAGATCCATGGCCAGGCTGCCTGGTGATGCCTCTGGTGTCTGGTAGTCAGAGGACTGAATATAGGTCACCTTGTTTAGCTGTGGTGGCATCAATTTAAAGGACACCAGGAAAATACAGAAAGACTGTGTTTTCAAAGCCACTGACATGGAAACTGTATGCAGCCGTGCAACATTTATGCTGAGGATAAATGAGTTAGGAATGTGGGCAGAGAAAAGCACTATTGGCAGAAGAAGACAGGGAAGAAAGTTATGTGTTTAGAGAAAAATAAAATGTTTGTAAGAAACAAAGCTGTCTCTTTTAAATGGGAGTCAAACTGGGTAACGTGGCCAATTTGTAGCCTTGTGAAATTTCCCATATACCGAACAGATACCCAGTAATGATCTGGAGAATGCTGTAACTCAAATACTGAGTCGGTGTAGGATAGGGTTTCACTGGACTTTCTCACTGTTGTCAATTGCTTTTGCTTCTCTTAGCCTGCAGGAATTCAACAGTTTCTTAAAGAATCCATGTCTGACTCTGTAGTTTGATGATTTGTTTTTCATATGCGGACAGTTGCCATGTTCCTCTCAGTGGGACAGTGGCCATAATGGCTATAAGTGGCCAGAAAGGTGCAGAGCTATTCGCCTTTTTGTGCCTGTTTCCAACAGAAGCTGTGATCTGGCTGCGATAATGCCTGAAGTGTTGGTGTGTTGTGAGTGTTGGTATTATTAAAGACTGCCAATCCTCTCCTGCTCCTCTGGAGAAGCCACCCCACAGCCTCACAGGGCATGTGTGCACTGTCTGAGAGGTCATTACAAAGCTTTCAAAGGAGATTAACACAGAGCTGTAGGCAGAGGTGAACACATGCGCTAGTAGTAGTATTATTAAGCAACATTAATTGTTTGAAATACAGTTTAGTAATAATAAAGCTGATAGGGAGTGTATTAGTCTTGTTATAGTTTTGATCATATTGATGAATGCTATCCTTACATGCACAGGAGATGCCACACAATTTAAATCTTAAGCAGGTATTAGACTGTCATTTCCAACATTTTTATGATTCCTCCATACGTCACTCTTTTGGTTCTGTACCACTTGTATTACCTCACTGACAGAAGATGAACAAAGTTTGGTTTCTAGTTGCCTGCATACAGCTGCATTTACTGCTCTGCTCGATTTGGCTTCTCAACTGATCTCCAGTAGTGAAATCGTCTATCCTCCTATATTTTTGTTTTAGTGACTGACCACTAAAAAAAAACTTAATTTGATGACACACCGACACTAGAGGTGGATGAATGATATTATTGACCATGAGATATCAATGAATAGCCTCGCAGTTGTAAATAACACACAGCATCATACTGCAAGTATTCAGTGTGAATTAATTCCAGATATGATACATTATATATTTATAGAAAAGCCTTCCTTGAGTTGGGGTTTCCTAGCAAATCCATTTTCATCTTAATTGCACTGAAATTGAACTCATCCCAACCATGACACCACCTTCAGCTACTGTAAAGTTCTGCCTCTGCAAGTACAACCTTCAGCCCCACGGCTGACTGTCTTCTTCCCTGTCTGTCTTGTCATCATGCAGGTGGCGGTCGAAGACAGACTGAAGCTGCTTCAGGAAGCCCACCGAGATTTTGGCCCATCTTCGCAACATTTCCTCTCCAGTGAGTACAGAGACGGTCACCTCTTAGGGAACTGGAAAATGTTGCAAGATTCTGTTTGTTTCCATTCAGGTACACACTTTCACATTCCACAGTTTTTCCATGTCATCATCAGCCATACACTCAACAGTCACACAAGTCGGTGCACCCGCATACTCGTAGTCGTACAGTTTGCAGACGAAGCACATCGCTCTTGAATAATGCAAGGATTAATTACAGCGATCCACTGACACCCTCATCTTTTTCTCTCTTTAGAGTGGTCATTAGCACAGAGAGAGGAACAGAGAGAATTAGACTGAAGGCTGGAGAGAAAAGACAAATGCAGGAGCGGGAACATTAAACAACACAGCTCTCACTCCCTGCGTCTCTCACTCTCTGTCATTATTTTCTATAATCATACAGCCATTAGTGTTCTTTCTGCTCCACCTGATGTGCTTTGCTGACTGTCAGACAGAGACAAAATGGACAATGTGTGATTCAGAGCAGGTGGTGGGCTTGGCCGCTGTGCTGTGTCACCGATAGACATGAATTTACTAAGTATACCCCGCAGAGAACTCGGCAACCGCACCAGACAAAACAGCACTCCATCTCATCATACATCTTCCTGGCACTATGACACTATCTACTCATCACACATTGGCTCTCATTACACTAGTAGCTTAATATTCCCTCAGGGATCAATAAAGTACTGCGTTGTTATCTCGCCCTGTCCATCTCGTTTATCTCCCAATCTCGGTTAATCTCTTTGTCTTACTGTTTTTTCATTTTTCTGTTTGAGTGTAGAGCTGTGTCCAGGAGTGGGAGGGCAATAATTCAAGCTGCGTTTCTTTTCTGTATTGCTCTCAGGAGCGTCTCAAGTTTTATATTTGCCTGGTTGAAATACTGTGTGTCATTTTAAAAGATTTCCTTAATCTGTCAGTATTTGTCTTCTTTTGTGTTCACAAAAGTGATTTTCACACATTAACTCCAGATGATGTTTGCAGAATCAGGCCCGGACTTTGTCCAGGGTTGGCCTTTCACACATGTAGGTACATCTCATGTCTCTTATGAGATCATTCCTGTGTAGGATGTTCCAAGTCTTTTATATTGGCAAGGATGGTGCTGGAGGATACACGAGAAGTTTTTTGTGATCTGACACACCCCTTCATCAGAAATCAGTTGGTTGTTGGATGCTTCGGATGAAGGATGTGAGGAAAGGGCATCTCATGTTTTAATAACGTGTTTCCTCGTCTCCTCACATTTTTTCCTTGCATCTTAGGAAAAGGAAAAGATGCAAGTGAGGGAATCAATGGTGCTTACAAGACACATGAGATCTACCCCATGTCAGATGCATTGTTACCTACTGGATATACTCCCTTTGGTTTATTGGGGCAGGGCAGCTCCTCCGGTTAATGTCTAGCTGATTTCAGGGTTCCAGTGCATGTCTGAAGAGGGCTAAAGAGTAGCACCAACCTGGGCATGTGGAACCTTTTCTCAACAGCTTGTATCCTCTTTCCTTCTTTTCTTTTTTCATGCCCTGTTGTCTCCCTTCTCCTTGTTTCTGCCAAGAAAACAATAACTGGTGTTTTCCCCCAATTTATGCATAGTAAAAGTCTGCCTTATACAGCCACACAATGTTATTATGGAGGTATTATAGTTTATAGTATAGATGAGAGAATTATTCGGTAACACTTTACAATAAGGGTACATTAATTAACTGTACTTAATGCAGTAATAAGCATTAACTAATAGGTAACTAATGCATTTATTAATCATGTACTAATGTTTTTCATGTTAATTAAAGTATTACCTCATACATTATTTAAAATTTTTTTAACGACACTGCTAACATTTGTTGATGCAATAATAAGAATTAACTAAACGTTAAATAATACAATAATAAGCATTGCATTCAACAACTTAAATGTCTCTTGGTAATACTAGTAAATTGTCAATAAAGATATTAACATTTATTTCACGAAGTTCACAGCTTAGCAGTTTCATTAGGAGAAGGCTGGTTTAATGTTCATTTAAGCATAATAATTGTCCACTTACTTGTCCATCCTCCAACCAAAAATTCATTTTGTCCTCGCTCCACGTTCATCTAAGGTGGTATCTTCCAGCTTCTGATTGACTGAACACACATGATGCAGGTATGCAGCAGTGGGCAGGGCATGGATAGTTGGAAAGCATGCACGGTGGTAGCTCTCGAGGACCTGACTTGCCCACCCCTGCTGTATACTGTAAGCATTACTTACTCGTAATTACGCATTTATTAATGCTCTTTAAAAATGTATAACAGTAGAGAGTAACCATTACTTAACCTTAATTAACCATTTGTTAATGCTCTTTGAGACGCTTATTGTAAAGTGGGAAACGTATATGCATGAACTAACACTTCATAAATGTATCACAGTGGTGACTAACCATTACTTAACCTTTATCAACCATTTGTTAATGCTCTCTGTGACCCTGTAAAGTCTAAAACATGTATTTATTAAGGAACACTTCATAAATGCATACAAAATAATTTTTAACTATAACTAATCAGGTACTACTGCTGTTTGTGACCCTTGAATATTTGAAGCAATCACGCAGATACTGAACATTAGTGAAAATAAATTTTAACTATAACTAATCAGGTACTACTGCTGTTTGTGACCCTTGAATATTTGAAGCAATCACGCAGATACTGAACATTAGTGAAACATTTCCAAATGGAATTTAACTCGTCATAAGCATCTGTTATCAACATGATTCATTCCAAATTTAAAAAGA